AATGTAAACAATGTGAGAAAGGTCTGTTGGAAGCCACAAATCTTTGACTTAGTTACTGCATTATAGCTTAAAACAGCTTCACTGTGAAGCGTGGTGGGGAATTCAGATCCTTCTTATACAGCTGTCATTGCAGGGTGCTCCAAGAGCCCCAGAACCCACAGGCACCTGTAGATTGTAGTTTCTGTATTTATAGATGACAGCACTGAGGAACACCCCTCCCCCCAATACATACCATAATATAATGCAGGACACCTATCAATAGCTTGCGGGGGTTCTGCATTGTATTGTGAGAGGCCGTTGATGGTGTTCCTCAGCACTGACTTCTAAAAATGTTGGTATCTGCATACTGGAAGTACTACCAGAATGCACTACTCTGTACCTGTAGGAGGCTAGTCTTCACTTCGGAGCTCATTTGTAGCTGTCACCTGCAGTGACGGGTGTTCTTCACGTGCTATACCACTTTCCCATGGATCCTGTGGTTTCTCATCAGCATTATATAACAGTCCTGTTTTTAACTCTTCCTGATAAACAGCAGGTAGATTGAGATGATCAAAAAAGTGGCTGATGTAGTGCTGTTGTTTATAAAATAAATAAGAATAATTGTTCTTATCAAGCATATTATTCAAGGTGATTACAGTAACACCACTTACAGTCTATCCTGCGTCTTACATTAATAGGCATGCTGTTATTGCACGTGCTGTGAAAATTAATATAAAGGTCTATTTAGGGCACTTATAAATCTCAATCTCCCTCCAACAGCAAACACATTAAACCTATGCATGCCACAGGCCCTAGTTGTCTTCTTGCTTGGTCACAATTGACATTTTTTAATTATTTATGAAAAATTACAACAAAATAAAATGTGGTCCACTCCCCTGAAAGTTTCCCGCACAGACAAATACACTGGTAACCCTGTCAGCAAGAGAAGTGCTACTGCAGTGTTTCCTACTGAGTCAAACAAAAATTAGCAATGCCAGTATGAAAAGGGCATTCTGGGAACTTTCCAGAATATCATGCTGCAGTATCTGTAATGAATCTCTCTGAAACTCATCCATTCTGAAGTTGGAACAGATACATTGGCAGGAGAGCAGATTGTTGATTATTTGTTTGCCTCCAACTGATAGCTTTGCTGCATGTATTCTGACAGTTTACATTCTAGGTGCAGATTTTTGCTTCTGCTGTGTTTGATCTTCGCTACACTGGACTACAATGGGAGGCATGTCACAGAGCTGTGATGCTTTGGGCAATCGCCAGAAGGTGGCATTTCCTGAACAAAGATGGATGCCTGGCTATGATGAATGCTTCAGCAGCTTCTCTATGCCATTACTTCTTTATTCTGTATAAACGCATACCCTGAGATATTTTTATACAGTTATCTTCAATTTATCTAGACGGTAGCTATTGCTAGAGATGATGGTCAATATGACTATACCTCCCAACTGTCCTCATTTGAAAATCCCTCTGTCCCTCTTTGCTCCTCAGTTGTCCCCATTTTTTAGTCTGATGTACAAATATCTATAAAAAGATTCTATTTAACTACTAAAAGTGTTATTCTGCATATAATGTAAATGGAAGAGTATTCTACATATAATGAAATGTGCAGTATATCCATGTAGACTATCTACCCTAAAAGCTGGGCCAGCTAGTGATTGTGTTTCCTGTTCTGACTTGAGTTCAAGTGCTGGCTGCATGTCGAACAGGTGACAATTCTGGGCCTTCCTGCATTGAAACCAAACTTCGACACAGTAAGGGAAGCACAACAGTAAAGGGCCTCATATATGGCCACTGCTGGGAACAATCCGTACAAAACGACCCTAAGGTTTTCTACAACACATACTTTGAATACCAACAGGAGTTAGAAGTTAGGCTCTGGTCACTTTTTGATTTACTACCATACAACCCATTATTCAAGTATCTGACAGCTTTAGTAATGTTCTCCACACCAAATGTGGTCTGCTTATTGGGTAAGTTGGATCTAAAATAAACATCATCATTGTCATAATTTGGGGTAGGTCCAAATGACTTTACCTTAGATATAAAAGTAATCATATTAAGTAAGAAGGGGCATTTTGCCACTTTCATAAAATACATTTGCAGTAGGTTCCAATCCAAATAAATTATAATTATAATCAGGCCTGGACTTGCAATCTAGCAGATTAAAAAATTAAATATGAATGGTGTGTCTGACAGCATTTAAACCTCTTCTTTTCCGTAATCTGGAGAACAATGTTAGTCATAGTGCTATTGTCAAGTTAACTGAAGCATAATGAAGCTGCTAAATTTGCTGTGGACATCTATGATCTGGTCACAAAGGGTTAAACCAGATTTCCCTTTGAAATAGGTCCTGCCTCTTGACAAATTGTTGTATAAAGACAAATATTCTTATTTTGAAGAGTCAGAGATGTAAACTGAAAGTGGCTTCAAAGAATGTAGTCTTCTTTTGAAGTCAACACATGGATAATTGGATAGAGATTGATTTTGATGGACCTGCTCTATTACTGTGTCCTGTTAACAATGTTCCTATGCTGGGAAGTCAGCTCTATATTCATTATGGCAAGTTAAGTGTAATGTGTATTGAAGGTGTGTTCTTTGTCCACAGTGACTTAGGCAAATAAGTCTGAAGCCAAAATATGCTTTCATGGTTAAGTATTCCCGAAATGCAGAAAACCACAGCTATATTTTTCCTTATACAGTGTGGGCGTAGCATGATACACAATGTGTGGTATCTACTCTTCATAAATAACATCACGTGGAGATGTTCTTATATTGATGCACTACTGTACATCCTTATATTATTGGAGATGGGATACATTACAAAATCTGATTTAGAAAGCTGTGTCAATTACTTAACACATTTCAGTACAGGTTCCCTACAAATGTCCAATATAGATGCACTTCAGTAACCTGGTGATTAAAAGAAAGTTAACTATCTTGACCCTCTCACATATCAGACACCTTTACAAGTTCTTAGGAATCTTAAAAGAAAATCTATTGCTCTTTTAGATTTCAAATAAAAGTTGGGTTATTGCATAGAACAGCATTATGCCACAAAACAAAGTTGAAAGAATCTATGGTAGAAACCTAAAGCAAACTGAACATGTAATTATAGGATAAAGTGAATAAGATGGTGAATTCTTATTTTAATTAGCAATCATTCTCTAATGAAAGTTTCTAAATCACAAACATAAATAATATATAGGTGATGACTTACTTTTTCATATACAATGGATACATAAGGCGTGTATTTATAAACAATTCACAGGTGCATTTGTACAGGAATGTTTGTTCTGATGAATGGAGCCCAAGATGAACGTTCATAGTGCATTTTCTTTTTAAGTCCAGTGTAATTTCATACAGCATCATGTAATACCACATTATGGCCACTAGATAAAGCTGAGGAGCATAGGAAATAAATACTTATTGCTTTGCTCCTCAGCTCTATCTAGTGGACATAATGCGGTATTTTACATATAGCACAATCGATTTGGAAAGAAAATGTACCAAGAATGTCCATTTTGGGCTTAACTTTCACAGAACAAATATTCATGGAATTGAATTGTTTATTAAATGTGAAGTGCTGTGAATTTTTATAAATACACCTCAAAGTATATCTAAAGCCAAAATATTTTTAGTATTGGATATTGTGGGGAGATGTTAAAACCCCTGTCAGGCTTTAATTGCTGTCCCTATCCCCATTAGGGACATTCACTCTTGCTATTTGTCACTGGCACTGGAAATTAGAGAAAATACCAATTTTTTGAGGGAGGGGAGCTCTATTACTAAGCCTGTGATTGGGTGCAATGTGTCAGAGGGGGTGGACTTTGGGCAGGACACCAGTGATGTGGTACAAGGTTAAATAAACTATCTCAGCGGAATCCCATGTGTGGCCAGCTTTTCTTGTTTTTATGGGCTTATATTGGAGCGAGGAAGTACTCCCAGCAGCAATCACCAAGTTCATTCCTTATCTGAGCCATGTCAGAGAGGTGCTTATTTTGTGTGTTCTCAGGAATAGAGGGGAAATCTTCCAATGGGGACACTTCTTTCAATAACGGGGGGTGTCCGTCCTCTGACTTTTCTGTAGTGTCCAGGAACTGAAGGGAAATTTCCCCAGTGACATAATAAATATCTAAAAGGGTTTTTTACCAATACCTGCTCTAGCCAAAACAAAACAAAATGAAGTCCACTCCCCTGGAACAACAAAATCCGAAAAAACAGGAATAGAGGGGCAATCTTCCAAAGAGACGCTTTTTTCAAAGACAAGTGTCTCCATTGGGGGGGGGGGGGGGGGGGGGGTGGGGG